CTACACCTAATTTATACATTTTAATTATTCTATATATCTTTTCCTTCTCCTACATTTCAGCAAAACTGAGAAGCATACTGCCTCAACCCAGATTTTCATTTGTTCTCTACTGACAGAATGCCAGCTTGGGCTACTTCCCTAAACTCAGAACTGTCAGATAGTTTCTTATATTCAATTTTTTTTTAAGTTCATGCTGTTGAATCAGCAGCAACGGGGATTGTCAACAAAATTCTTAAAGCCACACTTAACTCAAATGAACCATGAATTTTATACATTGTGTTCAACCATTTTAAGGGGGTCATCTAGGCTAAATTATTTTTACCATATAAAATGTTACAGAGTATTGAAATATTATTATTAAAATCACAGTCACTTAAATTGCAATACTTACTGTCTCTGAAAGCAATACCTAGAACTTTACTTCTTAAATTTCATGGCTTTCCACTGTTGTGCAATACTGAAAACATGATTGAAAATAGCAGTAGGTTGCTCATTCTGCTTAAATTTCTCTTCCTTCAAGACGAATTTAAAAACTCAAAAACAGTCCCCTGTAAGAAATGAGTGCCAGGACTATCTGTATGGCTTGTCTCCAGGCCTGGTGCACGGCTGTCATTCTGGGGTGCACGTTCCCTGCATCCTTAAACTGACTGCATCCCGGAAGGCAATCTCTGGAATGTTGGTTCCATTCTATCCTCTCACTAGATTGACAGTTTGCCTAGGTTTACAATTTCTTATTTGTTTCTATTCAGAATACTGAAGGAAATGAGATCAGACCAGGCCTAGCAGCAATATGCCATGCTCTTTGAGGCAAACCCACATGAGAAGGTACCAGTTCATGCCCGGAGACCTCCCTGAGTCTACAGAGCACTCAGGGACATGTGCGTCACATCTGGGGCTGGCTGGAGCTGGAGCTGGATCACAGCGTGGAGACGGGGGTGCTGTATCTCTGTCTCTCTCACTCACTCTGTCTCCCTCACGTGTGGGGATAAACTAAAAGAAAGAAGAGAGAGAGAGGGAGGGAGAAAGAGAGACAGAGAGAAGAGGGGGAGGGGAGAGGTGGGGAACGGAGGAGAGGAAAGAAGAAAAGAGAAGAAAGGAGAGGAGGAAAGGGGAGGAGAAAGAAGGGGAAGGGAGAGGAGGAGGGACGAGGAGAGAGGAAGGAAAAGAGAAAAGAAAAGAAAAAAAGAGAAGAGGAGAGGAGAGGAGAGGAGAGGAGAGGAGAGGAGAGGAGAGGAGAGGAGAGGAGAGGAGAGAAAATATTGAAGGAATTGTGCCACCAGTCTCCAGCATGAATACTGACAACTCCAATACTATGCAGCCTCCAGCTCCCTTGCGGGTGACTGGCCAGTTGTTCTCAGAACTTTCAGAACATTTTCCTGCTAGATATTTGCATAGCTGGTTCTTCCTCATTACCTAATTCTCTGCTGAGGCCTGAGGGGCCTTCCCTGAGCAGCCAATCAGAAAGAGCCCCAACTTGTCACTCCCAAACCATCATGTGTATTTTTCACCAGTCTTCACTACAATCTGTATCTTCTTGTTGCTTACTCTATTCTATGTTACCTGTTTCCACTGCCTAAACTGTGAAGTCGAGAACACGTTTGCTTCTGAACACCCCGTGCCCTCGGCAATGAGCAGGCACTCAGTAAGTGTTGGCTGAACGCATGAATAAAAGCCTGTAGGCCAGCACCCCTGCCAGAGGTGAAGTGAAAGGAACACTGAGATTAGTATTCCTAAATGATGTAAAACAGGATCAGGGCTAGGACCTAGTCTTGGTCATGATGCTTGGATTGACTGCAAACGTGCTTCCAGCCACAGCTAGTCCTAAACCAGGAGCCTTCGAACCTTACCCAATGCAATGTCCATGTTAATTACGGTCCAGAAGAATGTGTTAGCCTCTTACAAAGCTGAAGGCTTTGGCAGACATGCTCCTATGTATGCACATCCTATCAGCTTACGCTGACCCTAAACCATGCTCGGCAGCCCGCTTACCCCAGGGTTCATCAGGAGAACGCTTTCCGAAACCACATGGTCCAGAGAGGTCACACTTAGATTATTATGGCTAAGGACTCATTATTCCTTTAAATCTCCTATATCCAAAGCTTGTCCCTTCCAGGCTTTATGTGGGGAGACTTGGAGAGCCCACCGCAGAACTTTTATGAGTCTGGACCAAAGACTTTCTCCAGAGACGTTGCAGCCTATCCCTGCTTAAGGTCATCTTGTGAACTCTGGGAGATACAAGAGAACCTTCCCTCAGGCTAAGAGTTCCAGCTGGGCTCCAAACTTCAGGGCCCAGAATCAGCTCTGCTATCTGATATCTGAAGAATCGATGTTTAAATTGGCAACATTGTTGACTAGCACCCTATCAACATTGCTGATTGCACTTGTCGGAGTTAAACCATGATTTCACTATAATCCAGTTAATCCAGTATTTACACAAAAGTTTACATAAGGCAACTATAATACAAACCCATAGAAAAGGAAGGGTTTTATTTATTTGTTTTTATAATTCATACATTAAATCACTATACATCATTTAGATTGTGAAGAAACTTTACCCAGCATGATATATACCCCAGTCCAGACCAGTTGAGACCACCATACACATCCTCATCAACAGATAATAAACCTTATCTGTGTCCCACAAGTGACTTACCTCTCCATTTTCCCCCCAAATTTCCTACTCTCATCTCCTCTCACACTCTTCCCACTTTGTCTCTAATGTCATTACAATTTTTAATACTTTTATCTTCTCCAGTCTTTAAGTCTCTACCATAGAGTGCAGACAGTCAGTATATGTTAAGTGGAAACATGCAATGTCTCTCTTTCATAGCCTGACTTGCTTCACTCAGCAACAAATCTTCCATATTTGTCTACGTTCTATCAAATTCCAGGACCATGTTGTTTTTTATGGCTGAATAGTATTCCATGGAGTATATGTGCCACAATTTTTCAATCCATTCATCTGTTTGTGGACATTTGGGTTGGTTCCATGTGTTAGCAATCATGAATAAGGCTGCAATGAATATAGATGTGCAAGTGCTTTTCCGACTGAGTGCTCTCCTGTCCTTTGGGTAGATACCCAGAAGTGGAATTGCTGGATCATATGATAGTTCTATTTGAAGGTCTTTGAGGAACCTCCATATCGTTCTCCACAGTAAAAGAAGGGTTTTAATTATCGCTCTTTAGGTTCCCTCTGCTGTGCCCTGCATTAAATTAAATCCTCAGAAAGCAATACTACTTAGGCCAAATTATCTTCATCCTCATAAAAAATGAGTACTTACTAAAAGTGAAGTTGTCATTTTGTTTCCATAGAACAATGGCACAAAGAAGACAGGTTAGCAAAGTATATAAGAACAGGGGCTTCAGCCTCAGACAGCCTCACTATTAATCCAAACTGCTAGTTAGGGGCTATGTATTCCTGCGTTAGTCATTTGGCCTCTGTAAGCCTTGGTCCCCTAATTATAACAGCACTTGTCACCTAGATTATTATGAGGCACAAATAAGGCATTTATCTAATGTCCTAGGCACAGTCTTCGAGCATTTAATAAACGTCATCTGTAATTATTACAATGAATTATCTATTTGAACATTTCTATATTCTCTGCAAAATCTTGTCTGAAAGCACCATTCATCATATTGTGGCAGTAATTTCTTCTTAGCTTAGTGCTAACACAAAATGCCTCTTCAGACACACTTGGGATTTCCCTTAAAGGGCAGTGGTCAGGAAGAAGAATATGACTAATTATGTTTTCTTTCCAGAAGGAAACTCAGGTCATTTTCGTAATACCCTGTTGCAGGTATTTCTTTTCCACTTTCATCCCCCTTAGCTGGCTTTCCTTTGTTTATTTGTCTGTTTTTAAATGTTCACTTTTACATTGAGTTTAACTTTCCAGCTTGCAGATCTGCCATTTACTAGCTGAGTAACCTGAAGAGGTTATTTAACATCTAATGATCCACTTTCCTCATCTGCCAAATGAGAATTTGTGGACATGAATGCAACTCTTTAATAACTACTCCTCCGTTCCATCTAGGTTTCCTTGGAGCAATATGAGGGGCCCAGGCCTCTAAACACTTAGATTGGTCTAGAAGTGATTCAAGCTAGACAAGGGATTTGGGATTTAGAACTGAGAGAGTCAGGCCAATTTCCTTCTAGTAGCTGAAATTATGACAAAAAAAATTGGGAGTTAGTAGTGGCTCTGTTTCCCTGTCAAGGAAGGATCCGTCTTGTCCACAGTGAAAGAAAAGAAGGCCATTGAGAGGCAGGTGGGAAGAGGAGAGTCCCAGAGGCTCGAAGGATTCCTAGGTTCTCAGAAGTTCCTCCCATATCATGGTTGCTCCATTAGAGATCTCAGTATCTTTCCAATCAACTCTGCTTTGTGTATACATAATTTGAATATGATTTCCATCCCTTGAAGCCAAAATAATTCTTAATACATAGAAAATAATCCCTACTGTGAATAATTGTTGTAAAAAGGGAATGAGACAAAATGAGTTAGTGCCTAATGTATTACCTGGCATGTAATACCTGCTCGGAAACAGTACCTATTCATAATATTTAAAAGATACAAATGCAAATTCTAAAGCAGTTCATTAAGAAACACAATTTTAACAGCTTACATATATTTTTTCTTGCACTTTCAAAAGTCAATCAAAATGGATTCTTTGGTTTGGGGTCTTGAAAAAATTGTAAACTAAGAGAAATGTTTTCAATGAATTTTTCTATATGTTGTCATGTAGGTCTAATTGAGATTCCTGTACAGTTAAACGATCAGAAAATAATGAAGTCCTAGATCCAGTAATCCATCATTTCTTTCTTCAAACACATGTTTAGTTTGTTTAAACATATAGAGGAACGTGGAAAAAGGAAGCAGATGTAATGCTATCTGCACAGGACCGTGTCAGACACATGTAAATATACAAATACTGCCTCAGCCGCACACCTGGGACTCTGCGTCAGATAAAGCATGCAGGATCTTAACAAGCAAAAGGCAACAACCTACCTGTAGAGACACCACGCTGACATTATCAAAGTGGATGTGTCCATTAGGCTCGGAGACAGCTGGGTTTGCATAGCACGTCACACCATTGACAGCGGGCACAGTCTTGGGTTGAGGCGCTTTTTCTTGAGGACCAAAGTCATCATTTCTAAAGTGGGTATGATCATTCTACATGGGGAAACAGGAAAGGGATGAAGAGGTTCTAAGAAGAAAACCAGCTCATACAGACCAGCAAATAAAGATTACTTCTATGCATATATAAGTAAACATTGCTATTTCTTTTCTATAGGCACAAAATTAATGTAATATAATGTAACACAATCATTTTAGGTTTAGAAAACGTCTATCTCTCCAAACATATTCTGATTTATTTGATTCTGATGTTTTCCTTTTTCATATTAGGGTAATACACTTTCTTTCGTGATGGATACAAAGGGAATGTAAGTTATGCATAGCTATCTTGATATGCAGCTCTGAGAACTTGCTCCAAACCCTACAATATGAATAAAGTATTTCTATTTCTCTTGTGCTTATCATTCTGTTCACATCCACAAGTCTAACAAGTGGAGTGTTCACATAATTCTAGGAATAAAATTCCTGCCTGTGCATAGAATAGCCTTAGGAAATAAAATATCTAATGTTTTCGGTACAGCCCATTTACCTGCCCATAGGTCTTCAATAACATCTTAAGCATTCTTTCAAAAAAGAAAAGTATATAAAATCCTCCAAACACAGCAACTGCCTTCTCAACATAGTTGTCAATTTTGGGATTAAATCCAAATGCCTAAGAGAGGGGGGAAAAAAACACTCAAGTAAAACTCACTAATTTAATTTGATTTCTGGAAGGTAAGAACAATTTTTCAATATACAATTTTCACCAATGTCCCAAGTTTTCACATCCAGATAATATCAGGAATTTATTTGCCAAACTCACATAATGAAAACTCAGAAACATGAGTAACCAAACCATATGGGACACTGTAGAAATTTACAGCCAGAAGCTGTCCCATTAAGTAAAGCCACCAGATGATCTTGTCATTTCCTCTCGATAACACCTACACCAATAATTGCCTTGAACAAGTAAACTTTTAGCAGTAAAGGATAACAATGCTTCTGATATTTAGAAGATAATATTAGGTCTGTTAATGAAGATAAGCGAGATGTCGATTACCCACTATCTCTAAAAATATTTGCCCATGATATCCAGAGTCAATTTTTTAAAACAAATATGGCAGTCACTTGGGTTGCTGTTTTGCCAAGAGAGATCCTGACGAGTCATAACAAGCTAAATAAATTAACAACTGAGCCCAAGAAGGAAAAAAAAAAGATTTAAGATTGCTGCCAGTATGGGGCCAGGAAGTAGCATGGAGGTTAAGGCACTAGATCTCACATGGCCAACTCTACAGTTTGAGTCCCAGACCTGATGGTTTGAGAATCATACCAGGCACATATGCGTGCCTTCCCAAGATCTCAAGAGGAGACCGAAGGAGAGGAGATCATGGCGTGGCATCCTCCCTCAAGGGTGCTCTCTCACTTTCCCTCTCCTCTCTCTGTGTGTTTCTCTCTGGTGAGTGCACACACCCTATAGTAAATAAATAAAAACAAAAAGATTGCTCTCAGTGTATAGGTCTCTCTCTCTCTCTCTCTCACACACACACACACACACACACACAAAATCAGAACAAAATAATGTATTTAAAGTACAAAAGGGCAAGAATTTGAATTTGAAATTCCAAAGAGTCTCTCGCAGACAAGCATAAACTTAAGTAAAATAGGAGGCGAGAGCAACATGTGGAAAACCACGTGACAGCATTCCACACACTGTAAATCTCCCCTCTGACACAGGGCTCTTATTCTATGTCTGCCACCAGGAAAACTTCCTGGCTACCCTTCATTCATGAGGCTTCTCCATGCCTCTTTATACAGTGCAAAAATGGCATTAGAATACCTACTCCCTGCACTGAACAGGCAAAGGTTAGGAAAATAAAACAAAAGCAAAAAAAAATGTTACAAACAAAGGAATAACTCTCAACGAAAATTCAAGGTATTATTACAAAGAGATTCTTCCTATTACTATATTTTTCAATAAAATAGAAAACTTTAAATGATCTATGTAGAATCTCCAATGTATATAGAATATCACTTTAACTTAATTTGACCCACAAAGCAGGTGATATAATAAATGCACAGACATATAAAACTTCATTGCATTATATATATTATATATAATGTATTTTTAACCAGAAATTCTGTATTATCATGGTAGCTTTCTTACTACCTGATCATATGGCTGTAAGTCAGTCATTTAATCCCCCCGGATTTTAACGTCTTCATCTCTACAACTGAGGGTTTGAAGCAGGGATTTTCCTAGGTCCTTTCTAGATTAAATAATACTAAATCTATAACTCTAAGAAGGTATATTCCCTTTTTCACACATATGAGGGTCTTCAGAAAGTTCATGGAAAAGACCTATAATGAAAATGTGATTTCATTTTTTTGCACCCAAATAAATTCATACTTTAATTCCATTCTTCCACAAACTTTTTGAAGTTTTCCTCTTTAGTTGTGGAAACTAAAAGAAGCTTTAGCTAAAAATTTCTAAAATTATGAGGTGAGGGTGATACTCCCTGAAATGCTACTTCCACTTGCTGGGCCTGTCTCTCCTCGCTGTGTGTAGGTGGGCAGGGAGGTGCAAGTCAAGCTTAGGCCCATTTCCCCAGCTGCCCTCTAGGCTCCCCCTTATCGAGGTGACTTTCTCTCTCCTCCCCCTCGGTGCTCCTGCTCCTCCCCTTAGCATTTTCCTTCCTTAGATGGCTGCAGTGGAGATTAAAACATACATTATTTGTCAACTAATTGAATAGGGCACTGTCACATCAATTACACATTTTGTCAAAGCAAATAATAATAATAAGTTGCCTTTTATTTAATGGTCCCCAATTTATTTTTTTTTCCAGAGGGAAAAAAAAAAAAAAGACAATGTTTGTCAACCATGCTTTCATTTGTCCTCTAGTCTTCCATAGATGCAATACATATATATATGAGAAGGGGTGGCCTTGTGACCTGGTGGTAAGGGAGTGAGATCCCACATGGCCAATGATGGTTCAAGTCCCAGTGATGGCAGCTCAGAAAAACACACTGGATGCATGTGCATGCATACCCAACATCCCAACAGGATAGACAAATGGTGAGAAAAAGATTGCAGCGTGGTCACACCCCACTGGGGGTGGGGGGGTGTGCTCTCTCTCTCTCTTTCTCTGTCTCTCATAATTAAAAAAGAAGAATATATATGAGGACATTTTGTGGCATAGCTTCAGTAAGTTTGTCATTGCATGTCTTTCAAGAAAATAAATAGCCAATAAAGGAGTGCGTAGAAAAATTAAATTGGCCACATGCACGGCAGAACGGAGTGGTAAGGCCAGCAGAGGTGTCCCAGTGCTGTCTGAGCACGTCCTGGTGGCTGGCAGCCCACAATGTTAATTTTGTCTCTGACAGTGACATTCCCTGTCACTCGGAGAAGGCTTTACAATTGCTGTGATTCAGCTTTCTCTTATCCAAAGCGCTATAAACCAGACCATAAAATGCTTGAAGAATTACAGAGGCTAAAATGGCACAAAGTCTTAAAACTTGTAAAAGAAAGAATTAGTCACAGAAACAAGTAGCCAACATCCTTACCTCTGGAATAAGTTGGAAAATGGCATTTGAAAAAAGGGTCCCAATTGCCAGCCCCACAAAATAGGTCAAAATCTTCGGGAAATAAGATTTCTTTATCAACGGAGTCAAAATCAATCCAAGGAGAGATGCCAGATTAATAATTGTCACTGACAGGAATCCATATCCCCAAACTGTGGGTTGGAGGGAAAAGGGAATGAAATTAATCAGAGCCCAGCAGCAAGACGAAGTCTACTGCACACTAAGCTCGAGACAAAGGTCTTCGCTAACAGCTTGACACCAGCATCGTCTTCCAACAACAAAATCTTCCCAGCCACAATCATGTAGAAAACAGAACGTGAACACAGCACGGTAAACATTAGTCGCGATCCTGCCTGTTCCCGATCAGTCGCCATTCTGGGGTCGCGTTGTTCAACAGCTTGCAGGGAATCTGAAGAACATCTAGAGTGGAGACAAGCAATTGCCATGTCTCGCTTACAGTTCAAGGTCTAGCTTAACACGCAGCCTCCGGCCCATCTGGGCAGCACACTGGGTGATGCTGAGGCTTCAACCACATGGGAGGCCTTAGTTCGATTCCCAGCCCATCCTAGAAAGTTGGATGGCACAAGGGACAAGAAAGGACACTTATTTAAATACACAGAACCATTCATTGTCTCTGGCTATTAAGTTGTAATCCCTGCGCTACTGCACCTTCTACCTACCAATTACTCGGCAAGGTTCTTCAATGGAAAGAGCATTGTAAAATTTAGTTTTCAGTTTTATCTCATCTTGCCGTCAGCTGTAGTTTCAGCTACGCAGGAGGCTGAAGCAGGACGATCAACATGATGAGACCTTGTTTAATTAAAAATGTATATATATATATATACACACACACGGCCTTTCCAGGGGACACAGCGGCAGTGTGAGTTGCCGGAAGTGCGTATGGGATGACGGTGGAGGGGAGGGGTGGGGTTAGCTTCAGGAGACCACAGCTGCTGATGAATGAGCTTGTCAGCACCACGTCTGTCTGCAGACTCCTGGGGAGAGCCGCTCCTTGGAGACACAGCAGCACCTCACCCAGCCCACTTCCCCAACCATCCCGCCCATCCCACTTCTCCAACCATCCCACCCAGCCCACTTCCCCAACCTCCGGGTCAGCCAGTGCAGTGAGCGCCCAGGAAGTGAGTACGTGGGGGCAGGAGGGAGACTGCACTGCACACACTGAGGCCAAATGTCCAGACAGAGATGCCAGAGGCAGAAGGAAGTGCCGTCTTTTGTCTCTCAACCTCAGTGTCTGGAGCCCAACGGGCACTCAAGAAATGCTGCTTGGATGGGAACAAGCAAACGCTGTCTCCGTGTGCAAACCCAGCCAATGGCACGTGCAACGGCTTCCTCCATCCCCCCTCCGTCCTGGAGGGAATGGCTGCCGGGCAAAACGGGTGCGAGTGAAACATCCAGGACAGCGGTGAGGGCACTGCGGGCTGAGTTCCCCTGTGACCCCAGGCCTGCGTGACACGCGGTTTGGCCTGGGGGCCACACGCGGTACACAAGGCTCAAGGTGGAGGATGAACAACCCATCTGCACGGCCCCTCTCGAGAACGCCCGGGAAACGTTTCCAAATGCCTGCTGCTCTTCTCGCCAGCACCAAGGGAGGGGTGTGCCAGGCAGTGCCGCCACATGGTCAGCTCATCTGAACCTCCCACAGCCCAGGAAGAAAGTGCCACTACTGTCTGCTTCCCGAGTGCAGGAAACCAGAGCACGTGGCTTTCAAGTAAACTGCCCGAGTCACGGGCACAGAAAGCTGGATTTCAAATCCACACACCCTGGATCCTGGCCTGCACTTTTTAGCAACATGCTTTATCACTCCTGGAAAGGCATTCTCATTTTGAAAAAGCCCAAAGGACTCAATAAAACTATGAAAATTCTGTCCTGAAGTACAATCTCTTGAATACAAGAATGCCATCATTCTCATCCAAGCACTCTACCTACAAGCAAACTTAGCAAGTGTTCGAGCCTCAGATGGACCACACCAGGGTTCCGGCAAACACGCAGGTTGCAGTCTTCTACATGATGGGGAGCTGGGAAATGCAGGTGTGCACGCATGCCACACACGCGCACACACAGCAAAACACAGCAGCTAGCATCAGGTTCCAAATGCAAAGGACAGACGCTTATGGACAGACGCGTAACCCTAAGAACCATCGCGGCACTGGCCATGACGACTCACATTCCAGACTCGCTCCTCTCAGGTCCAGATCCTGGCCCATGCCCTACAGAGTCATCTAACTGCCCACTGCCCCTTTTATTACCTATCTCCTAAAACACTTCCTGCTCCCCTCAGTCCCTGCACTGCGACCGTTCTCAATGGCGCACCTTCCCTGGGAGAACATCCTCATGCACCTCCCTTACCACCGCCTCATACCCCGTCCTGGGCCTGCACACACTCCTTCACCCCCAGATACCTCTCCTTTCACCGGGCAGACAAGGCACCATGTGTTGAAAACTACAAATGCAAACAGATCTTTGAGTACCAAACGGAGGCCAAGCTGCAAACACATCTCAAAGTCATCATCTCCCCCGAGATGATGAAATCTGCCCCAGTCCCCTCGTTCATTACCTACGTAAACAGCAGGAACATCAGAACGACTTCAGCTGCTCTCTCCACCAGTCATGTCCACCGACAGCGGGTGACCAGCCCCCATCCATTCTGTCTCGGATCTCTCTTACCTCCGGCCTCTCCATCCTCACCTCTCTCTCTCACCTGATGTGTCATGGCAGCTTTCTGGCTGGCCTTCCTCCCCCTCGCTGGCTCGGATTATTGTACCAAAACACAAATGTGTCCACTCCTGCCCTCCCTGCACCTGCCCTCCACTCCCTGACTCCGCACACCCTCCCCGGGTTAATTACCCCTTGTCCACCCCGCCTTGACCTAGAGCTTCTCAAGCCGGGCGTGCCCTCTGCATGTGGGTTCTCGGTCTGCAAACACCTTTCCCTTTCCACTGCCTGAGAGTGGCTCTCCATGCCAAGACAGACACCCTCTCTCTGAAGCACCCTGCTCCTTGGGCTCCGTCAAGACTCCCACAGGCCTTGGTGTGAGGCTGATTGGACCAGTCGCCATTTCCATGGGCTACAGCAACTTCACCGCTCATGCACTCATCTGCTTCACCCAAACGGAAACATACAGGAGGGGAACGGTCGGTCTCATGTCTCCTAGAGAGCCGGGAGCTGCCCAGAGACAGCACACACATGCCTTGCTGAAGGAATCAATGCCCAATTTTAAGGTGGACCCCAGATTTCTGTTAAAAAAGACAAAAACAACTGGTCTACCTCTCTAGTCTTTCCATCCTTCCTGGTCATTGTGCATCTTTATCAGAACCACGTGGGGAGCATGGGAGCAGAAACCATCACACTGCAGTGTCCCCTTCCTGTATTAGCAGGATATCACTCAGGGAAAAAACAGCTACTCGGGGAGGGCCAGCCCCATGGCCTAGTGGCCAACAGATGGATCCCAAGTGGCACTCTGCACAGTTCCAACCTCTGTCCACGCAGTTCCGACCTCTGTCCACACAGTCGCAATTCCGAGCTCTGTCCACACGGTTCCGACCTCAGTCCACACAATTCTCACCTCAGTCCACACGGCTCCCACCTCTGTCCACACAATTCTGACCTCAGTCCACCCGGTTCCCACCTCTGTCCACACTATTCTGACCTCAGTCCACACGG